GGCCCGATGACCGACCCGATGGCTTGCACGGCTTGGGCAATGTTAATCCGAACTCGGCGTACTGAGCGGGCCCGTAACTGATTGTTCGTGTATTTAGATTTTCCGCATCGAGAGAGGGAAGAGTAAGCTGCGCACCAGCCATGTAAGGATTCGCCGCGGTCTCCAAACACCCGAGCCCACTCCAATGATGAACGTGGCTCCACAGAACCCGCCGAAACTGCGCTTGAGCGCCGCCGGCCACATCAAGAGCGCACCGATGCCCTCGAGCACCAGCCCGAGGATGAAGACGGCGCGGTAGCCGTAGTTGCGCAGGACCCAGTTGCATAGCCCGGACGCGAGAGGATAGGCCCCGAAATACGCCGCTTGGAGGCCTGACGAGCGCGTGGCGGGTGATATGAGTGTGTTTTGGAAGTGTTTGTTGAGGGTGTCGAGCAAGCCGTATGCAAAGCCCTGTCGTAGTGGACGGTTCAGAGAATGATACAAGAGACATGGCTTGAGAGCAAATGGGACGCACCCAGAGGAAGTACAGAATCGTTACCAGGAAGAGCGGCCAAAGCGTCTCCCTGAGCGTCAAGTTCGACGCATTCGTAAGTCGGTCCCCGACCTTCAGCGAGTGCACCTTAAACCGTCTCATCTTCGTCGGCGCTGGTTTTTCAGTCTCAGACGTCGGAGTCATTATCGTGAAAGAGATGGAGATGCACGAGAGAACAGAGGAAATGCCAAGAAGCGGGACGGGAACGCTCGGGTGGCTTCCGAACTACAACCTCTTACGTTCTTTAAATGTGGCATATAAGGAGCACCGATCCGATGGTGCGGGCCCCGGGGGATCAGCCAAGAGTAGCGAGGAGGGGAGTGAGGAGAAGCGGAAGCTGGAGAAACCAATGATTCCGTACGGTGGAAGCCAAAATGCAAAGTTCTGCCAAGTGAAGCCGGGGATGAGAGGTTTCGGCCGGCAAAAAACGCGTGGAGATACGACAAGCGGGGGATGATAGTATGGAAGGACTCTCCATTTCCTTCTTCCGGACCCTGGGTCCGACAGCTCGCATCTGAGAGCCAGCACAAAATTACACCCAATCCCTGTCCGGTCCGATGTTGCGAATGTCGCAATTTTTGTCAACCCCACTCACAACTCACGCGAAATAGATGGAAACAATTGACAAAGTCCCATTTTCACAAACGAGCTCAGTTTGGCAATCACAACCGCAAGAGCAGACACATACCCAAAGGTAGATTCATCCGAGTGACATCGACCAATTCTGTCGCATCGATACTGGCTTGTTGCTTCACAAGTGAATTGTAACAGATGGATGGCCAGACACCCCTCATGTTGGGACAAGGCAAAGCTTCACTCTTCTCCCTGACGAGTGACTTCCTTCGACGAATCCTTGTGGCTGAACCAGCTTTCTGTTCTCTATCAGCTCTGAGACCTTTTCCAGAAGCACATGGTCAAATAGGCTTCGGGACCACCGTGAGGAATAGGTTGACCAGTCCGTACCCCAACAACCATCCTATTGAACAGTTGACTCAGCCGGCCTTTTCCTTTGCCACCATTCATGCGTATCCAGCCCAGTCTTTTACCGCATAGCTTGGGACAAACGCGACGCGACAGACGGCGACATCTCCGCATTTCCGCGAGGCCATTTCTGTGTCATGATCGGATGTGGAATATGATTGATTCCATCGGGGTCGGCAGACAAAAGCTGGTTTGGGCAAGCCAACATTTTGGCTTGTTGGCTAGGTAGATTATGGTTCTTTCTGTTCAAGTCATGGAGCTGCATACACGTATGTCCCAGTTCAGAGAGTCTGCATGTGTATCTCACCATTCTGCCATTTGGTGCATTGTGCAATTCTATTTTTCTTACCCATCTGCCCACTCCTAATGATCAATCATATGCTATGTATTTTCCTCCCCTCCTGACCCCTGCATATGCCCCCACCCCAAACTGACCAAATGGGTCCTGCTGGGTTGGAACTAAATGATGGCAGTGGTAACTGATGTGGGGGAGGGTGCTCGTGCCTGGGTGGGAGAAAAAGTTCTCCCCTGGACATCTCAATTGTTCAGTTACTTGAATCAAAAGTCACGAACCAACACACTCCACACTTAAGACTCTCAGTCGGTGCTCATTCAGCAAGTGAGAGTCAAAAAATAGCCATAATGATTAGATTGGCTGGTGTTGGAGGGAGATCCAGAAACGGAATTTTTTTTTGATGCACTGTCAGGGGAACCCCTCGAGGTTGCCCTTACATGCACTGAGAATGATAAGACATGGAGTGTGACACTGGCCACTATTAATGCCAACACTACGGGAAAAGCACAACACAGCGGGAAATTGATGATCTCTCCTTCCTCCTTTGGATTTGCTCCTGGTATCCTCCAGAACTTGTAGCTAGCATGCGGAAACCCTCAAGTATCAAATCTTAGATGTATACATAAATGGGAACCATATACAAAATGAGGGCCGGTCCATCATGCCAAGGCTTCAAACTAGGGATAGCTTTCCAGTGACTGTTCCTCTTCATGCAAGGCTCTAGTACTGTGTATGAGACATACCCTATGCATTCTGAAACCATCCCCTTGTCTTGCCGGTGCGTGGTTGTGGAGAACTGCAGGCAAAGTGGATGAGCATTACATTTCAAAGTCTGTGTCATAATTCGATCGCTTTTTCATCATTTCATCAACAATCTTATCTAATCTCAACATTGGGTTAGCTTATCATGGATCACAACATCACACAGTCCGGGTTAGGGATTCAGAGGGGTTATCTGTACAGAGGCTAGGCAACATGTCCTCCAGAAGGTTCTACTACAACCCATGACCAATGCTCAACAAGATGGGTCCAAAGACAGAACTCTTCAAAGGAGATGGAATGGCAGAGAAAGCAAACATCTGGCTAAGACAGCGAGAACAGATGTGGAAGTTTGATGCAAAGGACAACAAGAAGAGGTGGAGGTTTGAGCGTGCACTATACCCAGGAAGCCCGGCGGAGGTCTGGTACAAAACTCTCCCAGCAACAGACAAAGCGGACTGGCTGCAGATCACCATAGCCTTCAAGAAGAAGTGACCACTGCCCTCTTACACAGCACACAAGAACTCTGAGGTGATGAAGGATCTAACAGAGAATGGGTTAGAAGCAAAGCCAATGGGAGAGATGGTGGAAGACAAAGACAGGACGCGCATCCCGGCCCATCAAGCATCGGCGCAGATTGCAAGACACCTCATCAACAACCTACAAGGAGGCAATCCTTCAATGCTGCTAATGGGTGAGATACAGGCAACCTTGCCCCCAGGCTTTAGCTGCCTGATCTCAGAAGAGGCAATGAAACAACATGGGACTCCTGGTTTGTGGTGTTTGAAGCAATCTCAATCTACCCCATTAACAATTGGATGGCAGAGAACCGGATTGAGCAACAACAAGGCCCAGCGGCAACCCCAGGTCCAACACGGGAAGGAGCAATGCACATTCCAGTGTTGAATACTGACAGGAATGCTGTGCCTTTGCATCAAGATCATTCCCAAATGTTCTCAAAGCATCTTACTGATACACGACTCAGTCAGATACAAAATATATAAGGCAGTAGAATTACTTTTCCGATACATGACTATGTGTTATATAAATCAGGAGAAATCCCAAGCACAATAGATTTTATCCCACTTAAGATTCTCATCCGTTCATCAGGTTATGAGCCCCGGCCGTAACTCAACATCTCTCGTACCTGCTTTACCCATTGCATATCAAGCACTAGCCTGATCAGCTCAAAACGATTTAATTTCACTGTGTCTTAAATCACATATATCCAATGTTGACTGACACATCTACATCTGCATACCAGATCCAGCATCTCCTTGGCAAGGAAAACTATCAGACCTGGGCTGTCAAGATCACTGACATCTTGACCGACCTCCAGCTCGAAGACTACCCAAAAGGGCAGCTCCTGAAGCGCAGCAGTGTTGTCCCTCCACCCATCACCATCACCATCCCCGATGGCACCACGACCACCATCACATCCTCCATCACTGTCTCCACTGCAACTGCCAGCAAATGGGAGCGCAAGGACCGCCAGGCCCTCTCCGCAATCCGTCTCCGTGTAACCAATGGTCCGCTGGTTTACATCACCAACGCAAGCTCGGCAAAGGAGGCATGGGACGTACTTGAAAAAATGTACCACCCACGGGTGCCTGCGCAATTGTCCTCCTTCATCGGAAACTCCTCCATCTTGTGGGCGCTGAAGGGGAGACATTAGGGTGTTTCACAAAGCGAGTCGGGCGCTTTTTTGAGGCGTTTTTTGATCATTTTTGAGACCCTTTTTTGGAACATCAAAAAACGTTTTTCGCGAAAAAGTGTAACGAGCAGAAACACCATCATGGCCTTTTCTGCACGAGTGCTCTTTTTTGCTTTGTTTTTTCTCATTTGTTTTTTTTACTTGCCGCGAGTGATTCCAATGAAGTAAGCAGACTACCAACTACACATCTGGAAAAAAATCGTCCTCGTCTCCTACATCTGCTACCGTTGAAATGCTGAGGGCGTGCTCACAAGTGAATCTACTATGAAAGTAAACCCAAATAAAACACGTTCACACTCCTCGTAATCAGCTTCTCAGTGTGTGAAAGATGCGAGGGCTTCGGGGTGGACAGAGCACCAGTATCACAACTCTCAATAGACGCAGATCCAATAGTCGCGGAGACGGAGTCGACGACAAGGATATATATATATAGCAAACAATGGTGTCTCAACCAATATCTTCTATACGATCACAACCAACACTAATCCAATCCACAACAACAATATAACAAGTCAGAGCTTAATACGAAGTATTAAGATCCCTTGTAGCGACAGCGTCTAGATGGTGACGCAAAGCCCAAATATCAAGTCGACGCACTGCCAACCGATACAACCAATATACTGAGTCGACGCACTGCCAACTAGTAAACCAAAATGTCAAGTCGACGCACTGCCAACTGACACAACCAAAAGTACTGAGTCGACGCACTGCCAACTAGTAAACCGAAATGCCGCGTCGACGCACTGCCAACTAACAGCCAATATCCAATGTCCAAAACCCGAGCACAACTTGTCGACGCACTGCCAAGCAAGAAGTGTGGAACCAAAGTTCTCAAGTCGACGCACTGCCAACTGACCAAAACAACCCGAGCACAACTAGTCGACGCACTGCCAAGCTAGAGGTGTGGAACGATCTCAACAAAGCCCGAAGGCGACGACACTAAATGCCGCGACTAAACCAGATGCGGCGAATCCGACTTTCTGATGTCTCAAAACTCAAACTCAAATCACAGTAGCTACAAGTGCTCAGGGAGCAACTCGTCGCGACCGGGCAGGGATGGCAGAACTTCTTAGGGTGGAATCACGCGGCACGCAAATTGTACAAAACAATCTGAAATGATAGTGATTCACAGTCCGGGGGAAAGCTCCCCAATACAAAGAAACGACGTGCTACTTATACTGTCTACGACGCTGCTTAGTAAAGTCCTGTACAACTGCATAGTAGCTACGCTATCTAAGATCGGTTGCCTTTTAGGGTAATTGAAAAGTTGAACGATCGGACAGGTCCTGAGTGATCAGGACCCCGCCCCATTGTCCATATGATACTTTTGATGTGGGTCAACCCACCGCGTCATACTTTTGGAATACGACGTGTTGGATTGGCCAACGGGTATGTCTTGGCAAGTGAGACCAACGTGGGCGCCCCAAGAAGCCGTATGGCTCTAGGCACGCCAGTCGCCTCCCACATGGCTCGGTTCACGGATCTAGCCGTATCGATTTTAGTGTGTTTGGGTATGGGCGCGACTCGCCGTGACACTTGGAAGTGTCACCGCGACGCGTCCACAATGTCCCGTGATCGAATGGATCCTGACATGTGACAAGTCGTCGTCGTGGCATGATCTGAGGAAACGTCCAACTCAAAACCGGGAGTTGCCGCGACAAGATGGTTTAAGTCTTGTAACGCCAAGTCCTGTCCAGTAGTAGTTCTATTATTGAGAACGTCGCGCATTGCTCAGCCCTTCAGCCCAAGTTCCCATCTGCAGAGAATGACCCTTTTTGAGAAGTCGACGCAACGACATATCCCTTTTTGGGGAATGGTCGCGGTCCAGCGTTCGTCACTAATGGCCCTGAGCCTGGTGTAGACTCATAAGACCAGTTCCACAGTAGTGGTCTGACTGCCTTGCTATCGTCGACACTATCCACAGTCGTCGACTGGGCAGTAGACCCTTAAGTCCTACTGAGCGCAACACTGTCAACCGCGACACGATACACCGAATGGTTCAAGAGTAAACTCTGTAAAAAGCGCAAAAATACGCCCTTACAGAGCTGGTGCAGAGCGCGTCTGGTAGCCAGCCTATCATCTCCCAGGAACACTAATTTTGACCTCCTGGTCAATCCCGCGACAGTCTCACTGCGTCAGGTCTAAGTCCAACAGTCGACGTCTCGTTCATTTATTATTAAAGCCGCGGAGACATAGAGTTATGTTCCCACGTCTTATTCATTTGGTTGTTCGGTTCCTTCCGTGATCTGCCGCGATCAAACTTCTTCCGGCATGTTCACCATATAAATGCCCTCAATTTTCAGGGTCGAGAGTCTCCCTAGTACGAGACACTCTTGCCTTTTGACCACCATGTCCGCGCCCGACCAGAGCCCCCGCCCCCAAGACACCAACCGTGAGTGACGCCCAAGGCGATTACCGCGACTTTTCAACCACGCTAACCGTCCATCAGCCGTCACCGAATCAGCTGTCCCGGGAGCAAACCTGCCTGCCATCGACTGGCGGCAGTTCATGCCGTCCGTCAAGGTCTCTCCCATGGCTTGTCGACTCAACTCACCACCTGCCTAGCCCCGAGGCCTACAACCAGATGTTGCGGCAGATGGCCGTCGACGTCCGCCAGATCCAACAGGTGAGCTCCGTCTTAAGCCCGCTGGAGCGAATAGTCACGGCGATCAATGATTGCCGCGTCTGTTCGCTTTGGCCTTCCATTCTTTTCACTAACGTAAGGGCTAGCCGGCGCCTGCGCCCTTGACCACCAACGCTCCAGTCGAGGAGTCGTCGCCGCCCAAGAAACGCAAGCGAGTCGTCGAGCCCGTACGTGTAATCTGTTTCATTCGTTTACTATGTTCTGATCGACCCCCAGGCGGCTCCAACCGAACAAGTCGCCGCCCCTTCGTCGTCCCGGCCTGCCAAGCAGAAGGGGAAGGGTGACGGCTCCAAGCCGCAGGCCCCTGCCGCCGTCGCGGGCAGCAAGGTCGCCGTCGCCAAGAAGTCGAGCGAGAAGTCGCAGGGGAAGCGACCCAAGGCGACTCCTGCGAAGGAGCCCAAGGCGTCGTCCCACGCGCCTACTCGTAAGTGGCTCTTTCCTTTCATTCACCAGAGTCGCGGGTACTGACTTGTCGTAGCCGCTACCTCGGCCCCTATTCCACAGGAGTCACCTCCCAAGCGCGTCCACAAGAAGACGCACGCAGGTGTGTGATCCTATGTCTTATTTCATTGATCTTTAGACTAACCACTTGGTCCCTCCCAGCCCGGATCCAAGCACAGCCCGTGCAACCCGAGTCCCTCAGCGATGAGGAAGCCGCCGCCGTCGCCGACACTGCGATGGATGTCGACGACGAGGGGGTCCAGGAGGGAGACGCGTCATCGGCCGACGAGCTGGCCCTTCAGGTAAGTGACCCAGTTCGTCGATCGCGATTCTTCGTCTCATGGTTGGTTTGTTTTTGACAGGGGCCCAAGTCCAAGGGGAAAGCGCGATCGAATCTGAGTACGTTTTCCTCTTGTCCCCCTCTGTCGTTTACTCATTCTTTCGTAGCCCCGTCCGTCATCGTCATGGACGACACCTCCGAGAGCGGAGAGGAGACCGGCGATTTCGTCGTGGCCAAGAAGCAGGTCAGCGAGACCCGCGTCAAGCCCAAGGTGAGCCGGCTCCTTTTTCCCAGACCACGCCCCTTAATCCAGCTTTTTAGCCAATCAAGAAGGTCGCGGATGGATCATCCAAGTCGACCAAGTCCGTGCCTCCCCATCCGGTGCCGAAGGTGGAGGCCAGTCGCAAGGCGAGCGCCCCGCGAGCGACGACTACCCCGACCCCAGTGGCTAAGGTGAGACACAGACTTGGTTCCCAGACGTCGACTAACTCGTTTTTCTTTCTTTTCTAGGTTGCCCAGGCGGCCCCCGCCACTACCAAGACTCCACGCAGTGAGTTGGGCAGGGTGGCCGCGACCCTTGGTCGCGAGCGGAGTGTTGCGGCGGCCAAGGCCGAGCTCAAGGCTCAGAAGGCAGAAAAGTCCGTTGCGGCGGCCAAGAAGAAATCTGACTCGGTGAGTCGCGACTTTTTCTTGTCGTCGACTTTTTACTGACTTGACTGTTTCTAGACTCCTGCGAAGGCGTCGGCCCCCACGCCCCGAGCTCCGTTCACTCCCGCCGCCTACGACACCGAGGCGCTCCTTTCGGTGGCACGCCAAGGGTTCGCGGGGAAGTTGGAAAGGGCCGGTATCGAGGTGCCAACCGACTTCGTGCGTTTCTTTATCTTTTTCTTCCATGCCTCGACGACTGATCCCCTTTTCATAGGAGGTCGCGCCAAGGCCCTGCGCGATGTGCGTGACGCGGCAGCGCGTCTGCTTCAAGAGCGTCGACGGGCGCCACGGCAATCGGTGCGCCCCGTGCGTGCTCTATAAACAGACTTGCACCAACGGCTACAAGCCCGCGGAGCAGCTGTATATGGGGCAACGCTTCGGGTACATCGCGCAGATGAGCGCGGACGGTAAGAGTCCACTCTTGCCATTCATTTCTATTTTTGATCGTTTCTGACGACGTCTTCAGATCTCAACAAGTCCGCCAACCGTCTCGCCGACACCTTGGACGCGTACGGCGGGCTTCTTCGCACGGCCAACGAGATCCGCGTCCTGGCCATTGGCCAGTTCCGTGATTTCGTTGGTCAGCTGAAGGAGCACTTCGACGACGGCTCGGACGAACGCATCAAGGCGATGTTCGTCCACACCGCGACCGAGATCGACGCCGCCGAGATGGCCGACATCCGCAAGGGTGTTCGGATGATCTTGGCCCACGGGGACTTGTTGGATGGCGAGGCGAACGAGCGGTTCGCGGCGCCTCCTGCCTTTTCGATCCATTTTTCTATCGCGAGATGGAAAAGATGGAGAAGCAGTTCCAGAGGGAGATCGAGAAGGCCCAGGAATTCGACAAGTCGGACCCCGCGACCATCCAGGATCAAGCGTTCCAGCCTG